CTGTAATCACAAAAAAAGGTACAAGGACCACCACACCCAAAACTATAATGACAATGTCAGTTGGTGAGGCCACCACAACCCTGGACACTGGGTTTGAAGTCTGGACACCAGAGTTCAGATTCCTGCTCTGCTATTTATTTGTGACTTGGGCACATCACTAACCATGGAGACTCAGTTTCCTCACCTGCAAAACGGCGACAATGACAACCTATACGGGGTGATATTCGTGGAATACTGTATAAACTGTAAAGCCAAATCAAGCACAGGAGATCATAAGAGGCCCCAGGACCAGCTAACCCCTATCCAGCCCTCCTGTCCTCTCTACCAGCAACTTTGTCCTTCCTTGAGTCAACAGAGAATCGAATGACTTCTATGGATCCCCTTGGTGGAAAAATTCAATGACATTACAGCTTTGAAAACACTTCCAGGAGACTCCTGAGGATCCTGCTACAGGGCTGGAAAGTCACGGAGCAAACAAGCAAGCTAAAAGGTCCCAAGGCCACAACCTCTCTCAGGTATATGTCCTCATTCATTCCTGGATGCAGCTGAAAATGAACTGCAGAGTTTCTGCCAGAACCCAAGCAAAGGGAAGAAGAAGACAGAGAGTTCTCACTCTTTGGGAAATAAAGATCCTGGTGTTTTTTTGTTTTGTTTTCAGTAAGCATCTGGTGTGGAGAAAGAAGCTTACATGAGATATGACAACCCAGGATTTCTTGCCCCACTCTGCCAAGGGTTCTCCATGACCTTGGGCAAGACCTCTGGTCTTGAGGTCTCTGCAGGGCTGCCCAGGTCTGTGTGCCTAGGCTCCAGGGGCAGGTGTGTTCTCACCTTGTTCTGAACCACAGCCCAGTCTGGGTTTCATGTGGGAGAAACCCAAGCCTTAAGTAAGCAGCTAAACTCAGGGGCCCGGGGGTGTGCAGGAGCCCCAGGGGCACAGAAACCCTCTCCAAAGAACATGGAAAGGGGCTGCCAGGAAACCAGGAAAGTTTTGCAGACTTCTCAATAACTATAATTTGCCTGTCTGTATATCCCTCACCTCCTCTTCTCCCTCTGAGTGCAGGATTTTCTCTCCATCCCAACCACTTGCTTCCTGCTGCCTCCTTCATGATGGGAACTGCAAACAATCTAACCTTAAAACAAGGGCAGTGGACACCAAATTCGAAATGAAATTGGAGGACAGTGTCAGGGACCACAGAAGTGAGTTTGGGAACAAATACCAAGCAGCTGTAAACTAAATCATCTTCACAGACCTGTAAGACAGAAACCTTGACAGAGACCTTGACCAAAGCTGTAGCAGCACATCAGAGCTGGGGAAGGACTGGGTAGAACATCTAGACAGCTCCTCACTGCAAGGTCGGCTTCAGGGTAAGTCCCTGTCAACTGCCTATCTCCTGCAGAAGGACAGTGCTCTGGGTCCACATGGGAGATTTCAAACAAGCCAGTCCAGGGTAACGGGCCAGCACCCCATTACTCCCTTCTGTGCTTGCTCTAAGATAAGAAGTAGCATTATAGAAACCTGCAACCAACATATGTGAAAATGATTAAGTCCCAGGGAGAATGCTCTAAAATATTTATGATCCATTCCCTCCTGTAAGCTCTATTATTGCATCGTGACTTCACTATTCCTGCTACACAACCTCTGTGTGCCATAAACACAGCAGGCAGACTGTGGAACCTGAACAGGTGCCTCATAAGCATTTGCTGGACTTAAACTCTTACATTTATCTCTACAGCTAGACTACATCTTTAGAACAGTACGCAGAGTAGGGACCATGTGTTCAACTGTCTTGTACACCCTTCTAGATATACAAACTTGTAGTGACCGATTCATACTTGTGAATGAACAGGCAATATACTGATTAACTGACCAAATTTTAAAACCTTCCAGGCTGTGTGTGAGAACCTTCACACACATGAACTCTGGTGCTGTTTTCTGGGCTTCTCCACTCTGGATGAGGAGAGGGGAAGAGAGAATAGTCTGGGATGGTTTCTCAGGGGTCTGCATTTTGAAACGAGTATCTAAAGAAAAAACCTTGGATTCAATTAGGACTCCAATGAGCACACCCATCTGAACAGGGGCATGTGCTGGGTAGACATGTAGACTATATGTTATTATGTGTTGATAGGTACAGGGTGTGTCAACAGCTGATACACTCACCAACAGCAAATTATTAGATGAGTGATGATACTTCTGTTCTTTAATGACTGTTTTCATTAGGAACTGTTAGCAAATCAAAAGGGTTTTGACAAAGTACAGAATAATTTATTCCTCAGGTTCTATACTCCCTGGGGTATCAAGAACCCACAATGGGGGAAGGGGTCACTATTTAAATAAAAAGCTATTGGTGTGGGGGGGAGGAAGCTGCCCTTCCTCTGCTGAGAGGCCTAGGGCAAGTCACATTACTTCCTGAGCCTCAGTGAGCTCACCTGTAAAATGGGGTTGACTATTTCCTACCTCACAGCATCTTCTTAATACATGCCATAATAGGTGGGGGGGGGGACCCACCCTGTAGAGTCATACAAGCATTATTCACTCTATCTACTCAACACAGACGACAATGAACACCAGAACCATTACAAAATTACTGCCTCTCAGCGTTCCTCCTTCAGGATAAACACTCAACACACAGATCAGTGTCTAAGTCGAATCCTGTTTCAAACACAGAGTGAGTTTCCTCACTCAGGCCAACTGAGTGTCCTGGCCACCTTCTAGCGTCTGTTCAGGGCATTCTGTTCCTGTATAATTGGGTTGTCTGGAAATCCGGGGCAATTTCCTCGTACAGCCCAGGCCTGCTGGGAGCCGAGATTCCAGAGGTTTTGGCCCAGCCCCGCCGCTGGGCAGGAGGAACCCCGGCCCGGGCCGGGCGCCCCTCCCCGTGCTCTGGGCGTCTCCTTCCTCTGCTCCAGCGAGGCGAGGCCGCGCAGAAGCTGTGTCACTTTCACCCGGGGAGGCTTCAGTCGCGGGGCAGGCAGCTCCCGCAGCTTCCTCCCTGGTAGCGGAGGCCCCTAGCCCGGGTGACCAGGGTGAAGGTGGGGGATAATCCCCGGCGGGTGGGGTAAGCAGAGGCGCTGGGCCCACTGGGCTACGGGAAACGGCGGACTGGGCCCCACGCTGGGGCGGCCAGGCAGACTTTGGTCTCCACTCTCCGCAGACTGAAGAACTGGGGGATAGGGGAAGACTCAGAGAGCCCAGATTTTCTCTGGGTCTACCAAGACAGCGGCGGGTGCGCGCACCCACAGGGCGCTTGGGTGCAAGGGTCAACCAGCTTGCAAGGAGGTAGGGGCGGCGGCAAGTTGGTGCCCGCGACTCCTCCCCGCGGTGCCAGACTAGCGCGGGGTACGCGGCCAAGTCGACCAAGTCCCGGGACGTCGGGGACGTGGAGGGAAGGGTCGCATCGCGGGCAGGGGACTCCCGCACGGCTGGCCCCAGGGTCTCGCACGATGGCCGCGCGATTCCTGCTCCAAGTAACGCGAGCAAGCGCGCGCGAACACATATGACAGCGAGCCTAACTCAGACGACTAGGGGCTGGCTGGACTGATCCCGCGAGGCATCCCGACCCACGCGGGTCCCTACTACGCCGCGATCTGCCCCGCCCCCGACGCCCGAGCGGTGTGTACACACACAAACAGCTGGGCGGGGGAGGCGACGCCTCGCTCCTCCGGGTGGGGACGCACTCCGCGCCGCCAACCACCCCTCCCCTCTACACGCCGCGCCCCCTTCCCTGATCACACGCACCCCCCCGCCCAGCCCCAGCCCTCGAAAACTCCGCGAAACCAGACCCAGCGCCGCCCAGACAAGGGGCTTGGATCTCGGGTTGTCTTTTAATGTCAATAGAGAGAAATAACCAGCTCTGACGCGCGGTCCTATGGACGCCTCCTCCGGTTGCATCCAGGTACCCGCACGCGGCTCTCGGGGGCCCCAACCTCCGCCGCAGCCCACGCCACTGTCCCTCTCCTGCTCTCCCCCAATACCTGCTCCCCAGACAGTCAGCCCACCCAGCAGCCGCTCTGGTCACTCGTCACTGTGAGCTGGCTTTTCAGAGCCTGTCAACTTAACCCCGGTTCCGCCAGGAGTATCTATTCCCCAGGCCCGATTACACCGCGGCGACAGGAATACGAATTTTAAAAGCCAACAGAACCACAACCACGGGGAATGGCCAAAGCTGCCACCGCGATGGATTCACCAATTCGGTTTCCTCCTCTGCTCCCATCCCCCGCGCCCTCCGCGGCCCGCGGACTCACCGGGGACGGAGGGAGGGAGGGGTCTGCTGCCTGTCTAGACGACAGCCATCCACAGACATCCCCGAGACCGCGGGGACAGGCGCGCACACACACTCACACCACACACGGCCGCTGCCACAGACACAATCCGTCACCACAGCAGGGAGGGGCGGCGTGGAGACACACTCCCGGGGTCCCTCCGGCAGCCCCGAGCGCAGCGGCCGGCGGCTCCAAGTCGCCACCCGGGCCGCGCTCTTACCTCGGCGGAGCGCGGTAAGAACAGCTGCAAGTTTGCCTGATACTAGACCAACTGCTCGATGCAGCAAATGCGGGCTGCAAAACAAAAGGGAGAGGAATCACGCTCTCGCTTCCTCCCCGCGGGTCGGAACCCGGCACATGACAGCAGCTACACCGCGCGGTTCCAACGCGAGTCCGGCTCCAGCCGTGCGTCCCGCAAGAACCTCCCCCCCGGCGCGGGAGCTCCAGGACCACGGCTCCCGACCGCGCGGGGAACGGGTCAGGGAATAGGACAAACCCAGGGAGGGGGCGAGATCGTGGAGTGCAGTCCCCTACTGGGGTGGGGGGAGGAGGGGACGGCGGATGGGTGCGGACAGCCGGCTCGCTAGGGCTCAGGGAGGGGAAAGGGGGCTAATTGTTTGGGGTGGTTTTCCCGGATTTATCCGTAAGCACGCGCACGTCACGCAGCCCTTCTCCCGGGTCCCGAAATCCATCGGCAAGCAGAGGTGACTAAAGGAGGAGGGCAGACAAGGGATGCTCACCTCGGGATTTCTCTGGCCTCCGCGCCAAGCCCGCGTCGGGGGTGGGGGAAGGGGACAGGGAAGGGGAAGGGAGGGACCAGGCTCCGGAGAGCCGACTCCTGCCTTGAGTTCAGCGCGTCCCAGCTGCGGAGGGGATCGGACGCCCCAACGCACGGACCCAGCCGAGAGGGGAGGGAGGGAGGGAGGGAAGGGAAAGAGGGAGGGAGGGGCGGGTTAGGGGGGAGGGAGTAGAGGAAGGAAAAAAAAATGATCCCTGTTCTGACACAGGGAAAGAGAATGTAGGAGAGTGACGTCCAGGCTCCGCCTCCCCCTCCGGCCACGTGCAAAGACTTGAAAGGAAAGAGGGCGGTGGCAGGCCTGCTGGGTAATGTAGTTCGTCTTTCTTTCCGGGGATGGCGGGCCCTGGAGAGCGGAGTGCCGCGGGGACGCCGGGGATGTCGCCTGAACTGCCCAGACAGCCCCTACTAACGACGCCAAATTCCGCCCCAACATGATCCTTGGGCGCTGGCGTGGCCCTGGGTGGGGATCTCTGCGGTGGGAGAAGTGGGAGCGGAGGCGCGGGCCGGGCTTGCTGAGAAACGTTTGATTTTAGAGTCAGGAAGGCTTGTAAGGATGAAGATTTAGGAGCTTAAAGTGCAAAGTGTGTCTTAATGGCAGATAAGTGGGAGCTTTGTGTATGCACTGGGGGGCCGCAAGTGGCGTTATTAATGCTGCATTAAGTGCCACTGTCGGTTATTGAGATGCATATGTTATAATTATTTGAGCATCGCTGTGGCCTGGGCGGGATGTTGTAATTAGATATGCACTTTGCAACCAATTAATATTCCATTGGTCACGCCAAAGGCTGGGCCATCGTAGCAGAGAGAATTCCCGTGCAGTGGATAATTCAGTCATTGCTTAACCAAATCCCCGCTGTTTGGGTTAAAATAGCTTGGTACAGAGGCCTTCAGGAGAAATATAAAATGCTGTATGCCCTACCAAGAAGGGGTCAGGAAGTCATTGATAGTGCTGTGTACATAGAACACTGCAGACATCAATTTAGTGATTTGGTGAGCACTTTTCACACACCAGGCACTTCTGGACATGAGACAGATAAGATCCTCAGTCTTTCCCTCCAATGAGCTCAGTCTAGTGGTAGGGCCACAGTCAATGAAAGGAGAGGGGATAAGTCAACACTTAACACTGGGACAAGCACAAAGTGCTATGGAATCCCCAGAAGAGCAGCCAACTAGGATGGTGGGTGGAAGGGGGTGGGAGAGGATCTGAGAAGGCTTCCTGACAGAGGAGATATTGAGCTAAGAATTACTAAGATTTCTAACAAAGGCAAAGGAAGGGGCAGGTGTCTCAGTCTCCAGATTTGAGAAAAGGTTGTTCACTCTGAAAGGCCCAGCAATTTGGCAGGACAGATGGGGCAGGTTGTTAGGGGGCAGGGCAGTACAGAAAATGGGGTGAATCTAGAGGGCAGAGGAACCTGGGATGGCTTCCCAGAAGGGGTGGGTCTTGACATGGGCCTGGAGGGATGGGTGGGATTTTGTTTTGTGTGGAAAACTTGTCTTCTAGGCTTGAGCACAGAATGAACCAGATCATGGTGGAAAACCAAAGCAGCATCCACATCCACATCCTGTAGAGAGCTCCTTTGATTTTTGTGCCAAAGAGCATGGAGGGTGTTACCCCCTTTGCACTGGCCTCCTCGCTCCTCCCCATAGAGGGAGGCAGCAGGCCCAGCAACTTCAGCCGCTGGTAAGAGGCAGAATGTGTACGGGAAGCCAGTTGTCTGGATGCCAGGCCCAGTTCCCCCTCCACCACCAAAGGAACACATTTAAGCACACCTGACTCTTCCTGCTGGTTTGTCCCTCTTAGCTTTATGCCTCATTGACTCAGTAGTGAGCTATTTTTATGCTTTAACATCTGGGTTTCCTAGGTTTACAAAATATTAACTAATAGTACTGAATTCTACCCTTTCTGCAAATTCCTGTTTCCCTACCTTGCTATCGGGGCTGGGTTTGCACATCAGGTGACAGGCACACCACCTGCAAAGGAAATGAGAATGGAATTGTCTGGTCTTGGCTTTGCTTTGGCTTTGAATCACATCCTAGAGGGGAGGAGAGGCCCAGTAATGTACAGAACATAAAGCGTCTGTGGAGAGCCAGCATAGAGAGTCCTGGGCCTGGAGTGAACCTGGCAGGCATTGAGGACAACGGGCTTTTGAGTCAGCCTAAACCCTGGGTTTGAATCTCAGGTATGATCCTTCCTGGCTCTGTGACCTTGGGCAGCTAAATTAACTTCCAGAAGGGGTGACCTTGGGCAACTCACTCAATAACCTTAGCATTGTGAGAACCAACTGTGGTCAATATTTATACTGAGTCACATGGAAAGTGCTCCATGATGGTTGAGTCCCTTTCCTGTCCCAAGCTGTTCTGGCCTATGAAGATGATCCCTGAATTCTTTTTTCTGTAGACTCAGGCCAGCAGAGCTGGTGTTAGGGCAGAGGGGGAGAAAGGGGCAGGAATCCCGAGGTGGTTTGTCTTCCAGGAATCTTGGCCCTATTCTAGTCTTCACCTCCTTCTGCCCTCCCCCATCAGCCAACTGGAGTTTATGTTCTCCCCTCCCAACCTTGCAGCTCAAAGATATCATGTAGAGTCATCCACCCAAAGCTGCCTTCTCTGGACAGTGCCATGAAACCCCTGGTTGGTGCCCATAAACTTGCCTCCTGATCGCCATATTGGTAGATTTGGGGTGGCCAGTAGTGCCCTTTGTCACACATAGCCTGGAAATAAAAACCAACACATTGCTTTTTCCTAATTCATACTTGCCTAAAACTCTAGCAAAAAAAAGGATTTCTCCTTTCCTTCAATTCCTTGAAGGAAGGAGAAAGTCACCCCATCAAGCCTCATAGTTATTTATTTTGCAGAGCTGGGGACTGAATCCAAGTTTCCACATAGGCTAAGCACACACTCTGTCACTGAGCTCTGCCCTCGGCCCCCTCCCACTGATTGAAAGGCTGGTGGGAATCCATCAGAGCACAGGAGGAGAGATGCCAGCTACCTTCAGATGACATCCAGGAGGCAGTAGGAAATGCAGGAAATGCCTACTGTGTGAGGGTGACTTAAGTGAACTAAGGGTGCCCTGTCAGCTGCAATGGACGGAGAAGTCTTCCGGGAGGAGGGTGGGATCAGAGCCACTTGTATCTTCCCATTGGGAAGAGGTCAGCAGTGTTGCAAGTCCCTGTTGTGTAGCATTGACCTAGGAACACTGTAGAAGTGGTGACATGTAGTGAAGCTAGAGTGGTTTTATTATGCAGTTTGGTGGCTGCTGAGCACATAAGGAAGAAAGCTGGCAGTCTGGTGTCTGTGCTGTGTTACGGTGGTGTGGGCCTAGAGAGATAATGCCTGGATAAACCAGGTTAAATTTCACCTACACCTCCTATCAGCTTCCACTGTGCAACCCCAAAGACCATCATCAACTGAAAGCTAGGTGCAAAGTGATCCCCTAATGTGGCTGTAGATAGTGGAGGAAGGGACATGGACAGAGACTGATCAGCTTGATAAAAGCCAAAGCTAAAGGAATCACAAAAACAGAATTTTTTTTAAAGAAGTAAACTAAGAGCCAGGTGCCAGTGGCCCACACCTGAAATCCTAGCTACTTGAGAGGCTGAGAACAGTAGGATTGAGGTTGAAAGCCAGCCTGGACAAATATTCCGTGAGACTCTTCTCCAAATAACCAGAACAAAGTGGACTGGAGGTGTGGCTCAAGCAGTAGAGCACCCGCTTTGTAAGTGCAAAGCCCTGAGTTCAAATCCCAGTCCCACCAAATAAAGGAGAAGAAGGAAGAGAAGGACGACGATGTCGATGATGACGAGAAAGAGAAGGAAGTAAACTAAGGAATATTTATGGGAGTGTGCTACACAGAAGGCATGGTGAGGTATCCATCTGACTCTATCCTGCTGGGTAAGGTTTCCTCCCTCTGGGCCTCAGTTTCCATGCCTGTAAGATGAGACAGTTGGATTCTCTGATCCCTGGGATCATCTCCAATCTGAAATTCACAATCTTGTTGGCAAAAGGAGCTGTGAAAGTAAGTAGCCAAAATGATGAATTTTAAGCTGTTTAACCCTGGCAGAGCAGGAAGGGCTTGAGATTTCATTAAACACAGCCCTCAAACCCACAAGGGAACGTAAAGCAAGCAGATCTTGTCCAGCAAGATTCAAGGACAGTAAGAGAAGCCCATGAGTCATCAGACATTCCTCAGAGCCCTTGGAGTTAATTAAAGGTCAGACCTCACAGGTCAGTGGTGTGAACAGCTTTGTTCCTGATGGGGGCCAGAGAAAGAGACACCCCACATCCCTGCAAGAGACAAATGTCCTTGTTACCCAGGCCACAGTCTAGAAAAAAACAAAATCGCTCTCACCCTGGGAGGAGCAGCCAAGGCTAATTGGACCTGAGGTGTATACCTGATCCAAGGCCCCATTGACTAGGCTGGCCTGGAACTGAGCCAATCAGATTCCCTCTTGCAAGAATCTGAAGGAAGAGGCTGAGATGCTTTTACCCATTTGTGATGGCTCTTCAGGTAAAGGCTTGTGGTCAAGGTGGGCCAGGTGTAGGATAAGGAAAGGGTGTGTGGGGTGGGGAGTGAAAGAGAGAGCTATCTAGAGAGAAGCCTGGTTCCTAATTTTTCCAGTGCTCTCTGGTGCCTCTGTTGGATCCCTGGCCTCCCTGTACACTCTACTTTGCACTAGGTTGAAAGGATTCTCATGTTTATAATTCAGAGACCCAAGTGCAGACAGAGAGAGGGGTTAGGCTATCATGACTCCTCTCCTGAACATACTTTCCCTTTTCTCTCCTAGGTGTCTCCTTCGTCAACCAGTCTATAATTCCTGTTTGGTAAAGTCTTACTCTGAATTGCCTGCAAAATTATTTGGCTTTGAACCTTCCACCACATCTAAATTCCTTTTCAAAGAATGATAGCTAGTATATTAATTGAGCAGTTACTATTGGCCAGGCAACAAGTGAATACTTTTTGTGCCTTTTCTTCCATTGGTTGACACTGTGGGAAAAACTGAGGCTGGAAGGGTAAAGGACCTGGCTCAAGATACAGACCTCACAGCCCGCGTCTCGGTCCAGACCTCAGGGCGCACCTGCTCCGGGCTCCCAGCAAACCCTCTGGGAGCATGGTTCTTCCTTGCTGGTA